GATGATCATTTACCTTATGGAAATTATGGCCACATACTTTTTGTACGTTGATTTACAAATAGCTTGGCTAAAAAGTGGTGCAGTAAATCAACTTCTTAAAACAGGCTATGAAGGAAAAGTGTATGATGAAGCCAGCAGTAAACAAAGAAATTACGCAACATGGTGAGAGAGGATGTGGATGTGGAGGGAGTGCTAAAGGTCTGAAATCACTGGAAAGTTCAGTGATGACAGTAACTTGGTACAGCTGACTGTCCCTCAAGCAAAAAACTAAAAGATTAGAAGGACAAATTGATTGGCCAGAGCCAGTGCTGATTTCCATTTATTTTGCAGCAATTCATCTGCTGTGTTTGGATACTCTGGAAAAATCCAAAACATAATGGAAAAAGCATGGGTAAAAATCGCTTATTAGCAAGTTATTTAATCTTTGAGCCTCTTTATTCATCTATAAATTTAGAATATGAATATCAACTTTGAAATGTTGCTGTGAAAATTAAATAAAACCATATATGGCAGAATAGGTGCACAAAATTGGTTAATCATGAAAAAGTTAACATCATCAAGATGTAAAATAATTAGCTGTTGTTGTTGGGGCAGGGCTTAGAGTGGGGGGTTGGATATTAAGATTCTAAACATGTGTAATTTTTAATCTGGAAAACCTACCAGATAAAACAAAGAGATTACCACACCCAGGTTTTTAGGGAGACAGAAGGTATGACCAACACAGAAGAATTAATTTGTTCAACTTTGATGGAAGGTAAACCCCTTTAGTTCTCACTTTGCTTTTAACAGTAGGAAAAGATCCAGACTTCTTAATTATGGATTATCCATCATGTTCTTTGCTTCCTCGGAATCTTTGAGAACCAAGAATATCTGTTCTTTAAGATTAAACACAAAATAACTGAAGAAATTTGAAAACAAACAGAATATTAAATTATATTCGATAACAAAATTATGGTTTTGTAAGAAAATATTTTTAGGAGATACCTGCTGATATATTTAGTGGTGAAGTTCAATGATGCTTGCAACTTCACCTGGTTAAAAAAATTCTATATATATATATAAAATATATATATTCAAAAAATATACATATATATAATCATCTTATACATAAAGCAAATATGGCAAACTGTTGTTTAATTTAGATGATAGTTATATGAGTAATGTTTAAAATAGTTAGGTCGGGCTGGGTACAGTGGCTCATACTTGTAATCCCAACACTTTGGTAAGCCAGTGAGGGAAGATCACTTGAGCAATCTCCCTTTTGCAACATAGCAAGACCTTGTCTCTACAAAAAATAAAAAGATTAGCCAGGTGTGGTGGCACATACCTGTGGTCCTAGCTACTTGGGAGACTGAGGAGGGAGGATCTCTTGAGCCTGGGAGTTCAAGCCTTCAGTGAGCCATGATTATACCACTGCATTCCAGCCTGTGTGAAAAAGTGACATCTTGCCTAGAAAGATAAAAAAATAAAACAGTTTCAGTTTTTTGTTTTAGAGACAGGGTGTCACTTTGTCATCTAGGCTGGAGTACAGTGGCACAATCACAGCTCACTATAACCTCCTCAAATTCCTGGGCTCAAGTGGTCTTCCCACCTCAGTCTCCTAAGCAGCATTTTTTTTTTTGTACAAATGGGGATCTCACTATGTTGCCCAGGCTGGTCTCAAACTCCTGTCCTCAAGTGATCCTCCTGCCTCAGCCTCCCAAAGCATTGGGATTACAGGCATGAACCACCACGTCCAGCCCCTAAAATAGATTCTAATAAAATATGAGGGGCGGGGGGAACCAAGAGGTTGCATTTAGAGACAATCCCAGGTAGAATTTTCCATCTTTTTCCTTTTCTATTCATAGTACAGGCGGTTAGGGGAGAGTGTGGTAATGCAGAAAACAACTGATATTAGAGAAGTAACAATAAATTCAGCCACAAGTCAACTAACTGAAAGACAAGTTCTACACAACTTCTGAAACACCTTGTAAGAGTCCAGATGGTGAGAAGTAGTAACTAATATCTATGGTTTCAAGAAAGAATTCTTTTGCCAGGGAGAAACAAACTAGTGGGTGAGAGTATCAGCCTTTCCAATAGGCCTATCAAGAGATTTTATCTAGGAATATTTAGGAACCACATTCTAAAGATGTTACAAAGGCAATTACAGAAAAAAATGTTATATAGTTCCCTCTGTTCAGAACACACACAATCTTGAGAATCATCCCTCTTCATCTAATAATGAATGCTTATCTGTAAATGCATATATCAATCTTAAGGGGTGACATAAGAACAAAAAGAATTATGTAGGAAATAAGCCACAGCCTTATACAATTTGAAGGTGTTTTTAAAGGACTAAAAAGGAAACAAAAGGGTTGTGAGAAGAAGCAAAAAAAATTTTTTAAAGACTTTACATGACCAGAAAATAAATTTAAAAAATTAAGATGTCCCAAGAAACCAAATTAACTCATTTTTTTAGTTAACCTATTAACTAAATGTTTTGCAACATACAAACTGCAAAATATCCTTTGCATCCCTTTAAAAAACACCTGCCTTTCTTTGGTAAAGAATTTCTTGCAGGACAGGATCTAAAGTTTGAAGTTCCCTCCAAAGATCCCAGTAGAAATGTTTCTAACTTCTAAGAATGTCCTAAGAGAATGAGCTAAAACACAGAAAATGTTGAAAATCTTATTTAGAATATTAAAAACTGGAAGCAATCTAAACGTCTAACAGTGGAAGAATGATGCATTTATAATGTGAACACACACGTGATATTCAGCAATTTCAAGTCTAAGTATGAAGAGTAAGCCACAATAAAGAATGTTAAAAAAAATTAGTAAGTAAATATAATTATAAAACAAAGTCAGAAATATGAAAAAAGAGGACAATTATATTGGAATGATAAAATTCTATTTCTGTTTCCTGCCTCCTCCACTGCTGGCTCTATAATTTTTTTTTTTTTTTTAATTCTTAAAATAGGAAAAAAAAAAAAAGCCAAGAATGCCATGGCTGGAAGGCCTTTAGTAAACAAGCACAAATTATAAAGGGTCCTCAAGACAAGTCCTAATATGAGGTATGAGACTAGATGTTATAAGGAAGGTCATTGTTCTCAGGAGCTGACTCTGCTATTTTTACCCCAAAGAGAAGCCCATACAAAACTATCCTATTCTTTCCCTCTTTCTAATGAAAGGTCCCAAAACGTATCCATTCAAGAAGTGCTGCCAATAATAACACTGTTAATTGTGACCAGCCTATAGACATCTTATTTGCAAAGGCTTTTTTAGGCCTGAACTGACATGAAATATACTACTGTAGAACTCTTTTTGTCTTTTTGTGGGATTTTTGACTGCCAAAGAACAGTTTGTTAAATTACTTATCTTTTAAAAAACACAATCACAAAATCATATTCATATACTGCTACTGTAGTGTTAGGGACTCTCAAGCCTAGACAAGCTGTTTAATTTAAATATATATATATATATATGAACGCTTGTTTGAACAACTCAGAAAGCATTTTTCCCCTAGAAATATTACAGTGATAAGGGAGACCAATCTGCCCAGCCAAGCCTCATTTCCACAATCTCCCTCTAAATTTCCTGGTCTAGAAAACCAATGGCTCTTTGGGATGCTTCCTATGCTTTTCAGGAGTTGCCCTCACAGGTCTCCAATTTCTATCATGGAATTATTTATTTATTTAAGCTAGGAAATGTCTTACTAACAAGTTGCTTTATCACCTAAAATCTACTATTATTCATTTTTACAACATAGATAACACTTGATTGACTTAAATTCTTCAAGAAAAAAATCTTGCTTTAGCAATCAAAAACTTAAGAACAAAGGGGTAAGAAGATACTGAAATGTACTAATAGTTTGTGTGTTTAATGACCTCAAACATTAAAGGCAAGATGATAGTTTTAAAAATGTAACAACTCCAAGTCTAAACATGAATGAATTTAAATTTAATCCTTTTTGTATGAAACCAAATGGCAGTCTAATACCACTGGGACTAAGTGTTGAAAAACTAAGTAATAAAACAAATACCTGAAACATGATTACAATTTAAATTCTTTGGATGATTTATCTTCTAAGCCCCCACATTTAATATAGACATTAAAAACTCTCTAAAATAATACTAAGCACCTTAGTATTATTTAATACTTTTATACCTAAAAAGTTATCCTTTCTATTTTTTTAATTTTTTTGAGACAGGGTCTTGCTCTGGGCTCAAGCGATTCTCCCACCTCAGCCTCCCATGCAGCTGGGACTACAGGGGCATACCACCACGCCTGGCTAATTTTTTTTATTTTTTGTGGAGACTAGGTCTTACTATCTTGCCCCAGATGAGTCTGGAACTCCTGGACTTAAGTGGTCTTCCCACCTCAGCCTCCCAAAGTGCTGGGATTACAGGCATGGGCCACCATACCCAGCCTAAGAATACTTTTTGGATTTTCACAGCTGTGAGGAAAGCTTTAGAAAAAAAAAAATGGGGTTTAAAAGTTAAGACACAGCTTAAGACAGAAACATAGTAAAACAGGAACAAATACTGGCTTAAACCTGATGTCTCTAACTATATTCCTCTATTTTAAGAATCTTTTAGTATCTGTTTCAACAGCCTTTCCATTTTCTAATATGTAAACTTTATTCCCACCAAATCCCGAATAAACGAGTCCTAAGATTTCCTAGAAGGTGGATCTCAATTATTATTTTTATTTTATTTTTTGAGACAGAGTCTTGCTCTTGTCGCCCAGGCTGGAATGCAGTGGCGTGATCTCAGCTCACTGTAACCTCCACCACGCGGGTTCAAGCCATTCTCTTGTCTCAGCCTCCCCACTAGCTGGGACTACAGGCGCACACCACCACGTCCAGCTAATTTTTATATTTTTAGCAGAGACTGAGTTTTACCATATTGGTCAGGCTGGTCTCGAACTCTTGACCTCAGGTGATCCACCCACCTTGGCCTCCCAAAGTGCTGGGATTACAGGCGTGAGCCACTGTGCCCAGCTGGACCTCAATTATTGTGTCCCTTTTATATATAGGCAACCATTGGTTTTAACTTCTGTTGGAACAGGGGAACTTTCACTAGAGTTCTTAGAATGTTCAGAAAAAAATGTCCCAAAGCTCTCTTCTGGTCCATACACGACAATTAGAATGTAACAGACACTAGCATAAAGTCTGGAACATAACACTAGTCGTATTTAATTCTCTCTGTCAGGGGTTCTTCTCTGTAATGGGAAATAATTTGAATCAGGATGGAACAGTTGATAAGAAGGAAGAGCAAACCAGCTAACCAAATAAACAGAAAGGTGTTCTTTCCTTGAAACTCAAGAACATAGGCAGGAGCCAGCCATAAGGCCTGCCCTATAAACCATAACATTAGGAGAACTACAGCTCTTTTCCAAGGCATTCTTATTAGTGGCATCACAAGGGGCAGTAAGCAGAGGTACCAAAGAAAGTACTGGGAGGTGCAGACTTTGTTAAAAGTCACAAAAATGGACGTATGAAGAAAACAACAAAAGACGAGGTCTCTGTAATAGGCGAAAGACACAGCTGAAAGCAAGATGAACTGTGGCAGGAACGCTGCAATTCCCAGGGAAAAACTCCACTTGCTCTCTGCAGTCAAATACAGCATGTAGAAGTACGGAGAAAAGTTGTGACGGATATCCCGCCTAGTCAGGTGATAAAAGTAAGTGTGCTCCAAAAATTCCCAGCCGTACTCATAGTAAAAACCAAAGCTCAGGGCAAAAAACGTGAGTCCAGCAACTGCTACAAACAACAGCACAGCCCGATTACACAGCCTCTTCAGGAGCTCGTACAAACGAGCCTGGAAAGAACACCGGGATTGACGGAGACTTTCGTCATGGTCGCGACCTGGAAGCAGGTGAAGGGTTATAGGAAGGATATAAGTCACCGGATATATCTTCATATGCACCGCGAAACCATAGAATACAGCTGCACACGCGACGAGTCTTTTCTTTATTAAGTATAGCACCATCAGGACCAGGCAGGCGACAATCGAGTCTGCATTACCTCGGCTGGATACTGCCATAGGCAGGGGGTTAAGAAGCCAAAAGGCACAGTAGCCACAAGCCTGGCGGCGCCCCAGTCCCCTCAGCAGCAGCAGGCGGTACAAGAGGAAAGCGGTGAGGAGGTCGCAGCTGATGAAGAGAAACTTTCCAAAGAGCTCGCTGAGGTAGATGTTGGGAGTCAGGAGCCAACCCAGCAGCGGGGTGTAACGGTAAGTGGCTCTCAGGTAAGGCGAGCGCCCCTCCGTGACGAAGCGCGCGGCGTCGGTGAACACCTGATAGTCGATATCCGTATACCTCACGTGCAGGGTCCGGTCCTGGAAGACCCCATAGAAAACCAGGGCGACTCTGGCTAGAAATGCCACACCAAACACGCCGGCGGGGGCCACCCTCAGGTTCAGGAACCATTCGCCCCAATGCTTGGTCAAGCCCATGATCTGACTGTGCGACAGCTGCTCAGCTGCAGCTCCAAACCGCCTTAGTACCTCTAACCTTCCCTTCCGTTCCTTCCGCAGGTGGTCGCTGCATATCCCACCTGCTGCACTGCCCACCGAAACAAATGAGAACGATCACTTCCGGCATGAAGCCCCGCCCCCGTACTGCTACTGGTCGCCAGCCCCGCGCGGGCTGCTCAGTCTCTCCAGCCAAAGACTTGCCTTCCTCTGGGAGGGCGGTCTCTTTTCCGCTTCTTCTTCCGGCGGAGGCGGGAGTTCCGGTCCCTAGGCGGGGAGACATCCGCTTGCCAGGAAATCCGGCACCGGCTTGAGAATTTTATGGAGCGGAGTGAGTTTTCTTTGTACGAGAAAACCCCTTGCCCCTCACCCTCTTCCCGCGCCCTATTCCGGTCCGCAGAGGAAAACCCCCCGACGCGGAGCCAGCTGCGGCCTGCGCGCTGCATCCCTCAGTCCCGGGCTGGAGACCCGCGAGTGAGAAAAGTACGAGTGAAAGGAAGATGAGCCTTCTCATGCTGTACTCCACCAGCTCGCCGGTATTCACCTGGGGGTTGTGGGCCCCAGGACAGGATAGGGTGAGTTAAAGGGGGCTGAGTGTGCATGTCCCGTGCAATATTGGAGGCGTACTTATATTTTAAAATTACTGGTTGGTAATCAGAGATTCAGATTTAAGTGGACAGCTTGTATGTTATCCGGCAACCCTAAATGAAGGTGATGGGAAAGAAGGAGAGCGTCACAAAATTCCTAAACTACGTCAGGCCCTTTTGCCTCAGTACCTTTGTGGTTGGCATTTCTTCTGCCAAAGTTGCTTTCCCCTCCCCAGTCACTCTGGCAAACACCTCCTCAACCCTTCTGGCCTCAGTGCAAGTGTTAGCTCCCAGCTGCCACTCGCTTCCGAATCACGCAGAATGAATGATTTAGATGCCAATCCTCTCCCCTGTCCGGGGATAGGTGGACTGGGGTGGATGGGATCTAAGCTCCAGAAAATCACTCACACAGAAGACCCTGCCGTGCTACTAAAAGTCCCCCCAGTGCTCCAAAACTCCCTGGTCATTCCTTTGTTACAGCATTTGTCACACTGCTTTGTAATAACTGTTTTTGTTTGTTTCACTGTCCTAGTTTGAGTTCCTCGATATCAGAGATTATCTTGTTCTTTTCAGTGCCTTAATAACTAACACAGTACTAGTAGCGATTCAGCAAAAGTCGAGTTGATTTTAGAGGTTCTTCCTACCAGAATATTTCTAGAGTGGCATCTTTGGATTACTACCAACTCCCAGTTATTTTCCCTTTTAAATATCCTTTATGTATGTCAAGGTCTCCTGCTTCCCCCACCTCACTCCAGCCCTACCCACTTCCATGAATTTCTCACCAAGGACTGTAACCCATTAACTCTTCCCTTTCCGTGGTTACCTAGGGCACTTATATAGTCTGCACTGTAGAATTTCACACTTTATTTTAGATTGTGTTCCTAACCCTCACAGTGAGGTTGTAGGGTTCTTGGGGGTAGAAATTGTATCATCCTTAATTTTTTTCCATTATTTGTAATTTATTGTAGTCTTAGGCACATGGTAAATGTTTAGTAAGTACTGATCAATTTGATTTTACAGAATGAGCCTTCTTCCTAGTGGAAGTCCTCTAGACTAGAATAAGAAAAGGAGGTGACTTTATCCAGTCTGAACATGCAGCTTCCAGGACTACCTGCTACTCATCCATCCTACATTTCACATTTATCCTTTGGAGATGAGCTGCATTCATCTTATACATTCCATATTCATGTTATGATATCTCTGTGTCCTTTTATATGCCTTGGTATAATTATGTGCCTTACACTGATAATTCTAACCATTTTTTGCAGTATGTTAGCCATATATGTAGTGGCAGCACATCCCTATTCATATCATAATAATGATGATGATGATGATGATTTATAATAGCTGGATTTGTTGAGGACTCATTTGCAATGTACCAGGCATTATGCCAAATACTTTTCATGTAAGGTAGACATTCCCACCTTTACAAATGAAGAAAACCAAGGTTTATGAAGATTAAGTAATTTTCCTAAGTCACATAGCTAACCAGTGGCAGAGCCAGAACTCAAAACCCAGTCTGTCTGACCTAGAATATCTTAATCATTATGTGGCTGACTTGCTAATAAAACGTTGATCATAAATTCTAATTTTCCTGTGTTTTCTCTTATTGATCTCTCGTCTGGATATTTTGGATGTTCTCTATCACTGTGACTCTTTCTATCTCTGATTTATTCTTTTCTTCTGCAAATAATAAGTAAGTGAGGCTTAGTTCCCTAAGATAGAAAATATGGGAGGTAGATGTCTGAGGATTAACTAAATAAGGGTACTTGTGGCTGGACTGGTTTCAGTAGTATGGCAGAAAGACCTCAGTCAATCTATACCTACATGGCTGTCCTAGTAAAGAGATGGGAGGCACCAAATTTAGGCAGATAAGGAAACAACTAGTCAAAAAAAAAAAAAAACTGCACTTTGGGAGGCCAAGGTGGGCAGATCAAGAGATCAGGAGATCAAGACCATCCTGGCCAACATGGTGAAACCCTATCTCTACTAAACATACAAAAATATATATATATAGCTAGGTATGGTGGTGCACGCCTGTAATCCCAGCTACTCAGGAGGCTGAGGCAGGAAGGAGAAGCACTTGAACCTGGGAGGTGGAGGTTGCAGTGAGCCGAGATCGCACCACTACAGATAGTAGTTGTGGGAAGGAAGAATAGAGTATAGTCTGTAAAACAAATTGGACAGAAAGGCCCAACTTTAGTTACTATTTCTGGGTGGAAGAGAAACATCACAGGGTCTAAGGACCCCATATTGAACTTTTTGCATTGGGTTTACAGATTGTATCTTTTCATCTCCTTCAGAAAGGGCTACATGTTTTCAAGTGCTTAACTGTTCATTACCTCTTGGACTATTACTTACAATCCTTCCTAATTCCCCCTTTCACTATCTTCTCCTAGATTTCCATCCTTTTAGAGCCAATGACTAGGGAAAGCACAAACATGGGTGGCTCAACCCTAGATTCCCTAGCAGGAACCTTGTCCTTTGTTCACTATGCTGCATACACTCTCATTACCCTTCTGTATCCACTATTCGTCTTTTTTGCCCTGTTCTGTGTTCAAGAGGTTAAACTCTATGGGTAGCATCACTCAGTCTCCCTTGTTCTCTGGCTTCCCATTAGAATAGACCAGTGGGAGGCACTGGCAGATCTTTGGCAGTGTCTAGTTCCTCACCTAAAGCCATGGCTCCTGTTGAAGCTATAACTCCCTCCTTTGGGTGCTAGTCTTGTGGTTCCAGTAACTGTCCCCAGGTTTAAGGCTGGTAAAGGCTTCCTACTTTGTGAGTGCCTGGGTACATCACCATATCTTGCTGATGTATTAAACTTGCTCATACCTTTGCAAACAATTCCTTAATTAAAACATGTCCATTGGCCTTTTGAGTATACCATCTGTCTCCTGCTAGAATCTTGACTACTTTAATCACTTTCTTTTTCACTAGATTTTGTTCATATGTCTTGCTTTGTCATTTCTTTGGAATCTGTTTCTAATTCTTTCCATGCCCGGCATCCTGAACCTTAGTCCAGACCTTCAACAACTCAACTAATACGTGGCAAACACCTATACTATACTAGGATCTGTGGCAATTGCCTTTCCCTCAAGCTTTAAAAATCTCTTAACTGATTTAATGTCTTCTGTCTCAATTCTAATGCCAAATTGATATTAATTAATAGTATTCTACTTAGATTCTTTCCTCCATCAAACATCTTCAGTGGTTCACAACTGCCTAAAGAAAAAAATAATGAACTCTTTTGCCTGACATTCAGTCCCACCATTTTCTGGCTTTAACTTACCTTTCTAACCTATTCGCCTATAAAGCCTTCTGTTTTAGGTTTACTGTTCCCAAAATATGTCTTATGCTTTCTTCCCATGATACTTTGTTCATGCCGTACTTCCTACAAAGAGTGCTGTTTCTCTTGACTTAAATGCTATTTGGTTTTTCAATGTTGAACTCGAGCCTCAACTCCTCTGTAAACTCTTCCTAGACTTTAACAAGTGAAATAGTCTCTCTCTCCTCAAAAGGTGGTGATGTTTATTGTCTGTTCTATTTTTTAACAGTAACTATATCATGCCTGTTATATAAGTCTTTTATAGTTAGTTCACAAGACATACATGCTCCACTGCATACTTCAGGCCAGTTCTTTCTCTCCTTTCTTTCTTTCCCTCATGCTAGTTTATCGAGCATCATACATGTCAGGCCCTATGTGAGGTGCTGGGCTATGCTCATGACCAAACACTTGACATGAATCCCATTCGCATTACACTTGAAGTCTAGTAAGCTATGTAGACATTAGTCAAATAAATTCACAAGTAATATACAATTGCAGCTGGGGTAAGTGCTCTAACTTTTAAGGTGATTTATTTGGTCTCAGATGGGCATAGTAAGAGTTAAGAAGGTTGGCCAGGTGAGGTGGCTCATGCCTGTAATCCCAGGACTTTGGGAGGCTGAGGCGGGCGGATCACCTGAGGTCAGGAGTTCAAGACCAGCTTGTCCAATAAGGTGAAGCCCCATCTCTACTAAAATTACAAAAATTAGCCAGGCATGTTGGCATGCATCTGTAGTCTCAGCTATTCAAGAGGCTGAGGCAGGAGAATCACTTGAACCTAGGAGGTGGAGGTTGCAGTGAGCCAGGATCACACTACTGCACTCCAGCCTGGGTGACAAAACGAGACTCTCTCAAAAAAAAAAAAAAAAAAAAAAAAAAAGAAGGTTGGAAAGTAGCAGGTAGTGGGGAGAGTTCCACAAAAGGAATAGCAGGTGGAAAGCCCCATGATTGTACATCCCTTGATGCGTGCATTATGTCTTACATTGCTTGGTTAGCTGAGTGATACCTTCCACATGATAGGGACTCAGTGTTTGCTGATTTTTCTTGAATCTTATGTCAAATGTATTCTAACCAAACCTCTTAGATTGATACCATCCCTTGCCTACTTCCTGTTCCTGTGAAATGTTGCCCATAGAGATCTCACTCTTTTTAGAACATTCTGCTAATGTTATATCTGGCATTAGTACATGGTACCTGCTATTGCTTTTAGTTATATTTGTTATATGCTACTTGTTTTATTTCTCTTTCCTTACAAGTTTATAGGTTTCTTTAACATTTTTTTCTTGTTGCCCAGGCTGCAGTGCAGTGGCGCAATCTTGGCTCACCACAACCTCCACCTCCGAGGTTCAAGCAATTCTCCTGCCTCAGCCTCCCAAGTAGCTGGGATTACAGGCATGCACCACCATGCCCGGCTAATTTTGTATTTTTAGTAGAAAAGGGTTTCTCCATGTTGGTCAGGCTGGTCTCGAACTCCCGACTTCAGGTTATCTGCCCACCTCAGCCTCCCAAAGTGCTGGGATTACAGGTATCAGCCACAGTGCTCAGCTCTGTAACCTTTTAGGCCTTTTAGGAACTATACATGTCCTTTATCTTATATATCTTATATGTCTTAGGATTCATTCCTAGTATTTCCTAAATGTTGTACTTAAGTATTTATTGATAATGATAAGAGACCCAATTTTCTCCCTCCTTCTCTCTCTCTTCCTCTATTTCTGGGGAACAAGAGTCAGTGACCATAGGATCTGTTGTCTCATCAGAAAAAATTCGGGGCTGGCTATTAACAACCAGACCTTTCTCAGGCTACTGACAAACAAGGGTAGAAGAAAAATCCATTTCTTTGATACTTAGGGGAAGAAATTCCTGGTAATTAAAGGAATAAGCTTACAAAGAACCTTGAGGATATATAAGGAAAACTGGCAACAAGACTGCATGGTAGCATGGAAGGGAAATTGGACTTGTGATCACTGGACAAAAGGGATGATGCCCAGGATCCAAAGCATCTTGACTTTTATGGATTAGGCTGAGCCAGTTTTCAGATTCCTGGGTCTTAATGTTTTTTTCAGTATTGTTTTTCAGTATTGTCCTGTAAAATACAACTGTGAAAGGAACTCGCTAAAGCATGAGAGAAAAATTAAACAGAAGAGGCTGGGCCTCTTCACATCTCATCTGTGAGATGGCAGAAATCAGAAGTTCTTCCAGCACAGCCTAATTTAACCCTCTGCTCCCATGGGTAGACCTAAGAGTTTAGACCTCAACAGTATTGGTTTAGATTTCTAAAAGAAGCTAGAGTGACAACCAAAGAGTCATCCATTTTATTTAGTAGCTTATTCTTAACAGACCAAAACAAAACAAAACAAATCTTACACGCCTTTTTTTCCTAGATAAATTTGACCTGGGTTAGTCTTTAGTGCAATGAATGGAAAACTATCCTTAACTCCTTCTGCATCAGTAGAGTTGGCCATTACTGAGCCTGGAGGCCCATGCTAACTTTCCAGCAAACGTTGTGTGTTACTTTACCAGTGAACAAGGTTAGCTAGCAAGAGTGAAGGACCAGGGCAGCAGCCGTGGGGGGGGGCACAGTGTCCCTGACCTGTAGCAATAGTATAACTGGCTTCCTTTCTCTGCTCAGACCTTATAGGGAGACTCCTGGATGATCTTATTAGGCTGACAGGGGTTGGGGGAATAATGGAGTGAAGCATAGTGTAGGGATTCCGGAAGCTTCTTATGGAACATCACCATCCCCTAGAGCAGCTGGTAACCCCACTCCTCATTTTCATTCAGAAGCATCAAAACCAAAGCATCACCCTCCATGCCAAATGCCAGGATTAGAACTCTTCTGGAATCCATGGCCTTCTCTTCGGGCTGCTTGCAGCCACACAAAAGACTGGGCCTCAGCCTTGCGAGATCTTAGGCCCAACAGCTCTTCAGTCCTGGCATTTTGGATTCCAGGGTTGAGGCTTCCTTTTAGTGCCTCCCATACACCAAGGTGTTCAGCTCCTCAGTTTAATTCCAGGGGTGAGCAATAGCAGCTCCCACCCCTGTGGAAAACAGGGAAATACAGTGTACTTCATGAAAGGGAAACAAAAGGGTGCTTTATTTTATTTTATTATTTTAAAAAGGTACTGCAGTGGCAGGACGCTGCTGAAGATGGGGGCACACAGTATAAGTGGTAGATTTTCCAAGACTTCCCCTCCCTGTTGTCCTCCTAATTCTCTCTTCCTGGTCCTATCAGTAGCATAGGATTCAACAAAAGCCTTCATGAATGCCTCTTTATTTCCAAAAAGGAACTTCCACCCCTCCCTTTCCCATTCCCAGACTTGAAATCCTTCATCAGCTATCTCACTTCCATCTTGAAACCAGGACCACTGATTGTAAGTCTGAAAATCTGAGTGTCCTACCCCATAACCAGGGCAAGATATCTGCCCCCATTGGTAAAGTCTTTGAATATTTCCCTTCTGTACATTCAATATATTTGGGTATATATACATCTATATACATCTTTCTATATATATATTATCTCTGTTTCTTTCTTCTTAGATAAAACTTTCATATGTGCCATATCCTAATTCCCCAAGCCTCCCCACTTCTTATTTGCGAGCCTAAGCAAGACTCAAGAGTTCATTGATTTCACTAGGTCCTTCAGCATCATTTTTTTCTCATCTTCACACTCCAGGTATCTTCCCCGATCAGTTGTTTTGCCCATCTTCTGAAATCTCTCCTTTTAACACCTGTGCCTACTACTCTCCTGACATTCCAAGTCCATGGTTGATATGGGGGCCCATTTCTCACAGACCTGGCTGCTTCTGAAGCTCGGCCTATAGCCTGAAAGAGGATTTCAGGTCAGAGGAGGCAGACTATAGTCCAAAGAACCACTTAGAGTTAGGAGTGGGGGTAGCTGTGCCCTGTGGGGGGCTTATGGGAGAAGATGCCAGATTGCATGAATAGGATAGCATCATTTAAAGTGCAACTTAAAGCAAAGCCTGGGATAATAATGAAGGAGATTCCAAAGGGTAAGTCAGAAACTCTGTTATCCAAGAGGCTAGGGCCTTGAGTCTGAGGCTTAGAATAGGCAGCAGGGGAATGGGAACAAATTAATCCCTTCAGGAAGGAAACATACCATGGCAAAATAAACCAGAAGGAGAATAACTTGCCAATGGATAAGAAGATACAGATACACACACACACACACACACACACACACACACACACACACACACACACA